TGTAGCTTTGCGCCTCTCCTGGAACTCACTTGGTAGCCCAGGCTGGCCTCGAACTCACAGAGATCCACCTGGCTCTGCCTCCCAAGTGCTGGAATTAAAGGCGTGCGCCACCACCGCCCGGCCTACTTTTTCTTAATTAGTGATCAAAGGGGGGGGGGAGGCGCAGCCCATGTGGATGGTGCCATCCCTGGGCTGGTGGTCCTGGGTTCTGTAAGAAAGCAGGCTGAGCAAGCCATAAGGAGAAAGCCAGTAAGCAGCACCCTCCACGACCTCTGCTCCTGCCTCCAGGTTCCTGCCCTGCTTGAGTTCCTGCCCACACTGCTTTTGATGATGAACGATTATAAGGAACTGTGAGGGAAATAAGCCCTTTCCTCCTCAAGTTGCTTTTGGTCGTGGTGTTTCATCAGAGCAGTAAGAACCCTAAGACAGGTGTAAGGCAGGAAACCCCATGGAGACACGGAGCAGAACAGAAATAAAGAAGTAGTATCTTGGGTGTGGGGTGGGGAACAGAAATAAAGAAGTAGTATCTTGGGTGTGGGGTGGGGAAGAACAGACCGAGGAAGAGAACAGAGATGCACAACAAGAAGGCTGGGCACAGGACAGAAAGGAAAGAAAGGAGAAAACAGTAAGAATGGGAGGAGCCTGCTCACTCCCCGCCCCAGAGCCCCTCTGTCTCAGACAGGGACATTCCTTAATTGTGCATCAGGACTGTGCCTTGGAAGGCTCATCTAGTACGTGTCTACCACCTAGGGAAAGGAATGCCGGGGAAAATGTCTAGGAAAGCTAGCCTTGCGTCCAAACAGAAACACACCCATACAAAAGCCACAGCCTGGAGACCCTCTGTGAGTCTTGAGGTCTTGGATTTGATCTCAGCAGAACATGTTAAATGGTATTCGGCTTGACAAGACTGCTCTCTCCAGGGTGGAGGTCGGATTTGGCCACTTCTCAATGACACCATCTCAGATGCTGGTAGATGAAGGAGGCACCTCAGTCATCCTGGACACAAAACAGTCAAGTCAAGGGATGTGAGTAGAGCATATTTCATAAAAGTCTCCTGGCAGTCTTCAGATGAGTCTAATCCTGTGGTATCCATGGGATCCTCAGCCACTGCCTGGGCCTCACATCATTAGAGCTGACTCTAGAGGCCACCATTTGTCAGCTTTACTGACCCAGAAGGGAACCCAGACCCTCCACATACCCTTCCTTGGCCAAAGCCATCCTTGTCTTTTCTGATTTTCTGTGATTTTTTTGCTCTAAATGATCTATTAGGGGGCTTTGGGTGTCAGTTCAGGTGAAATACACTCCAGATAAACAATTGCATATAAGCTGGGAATGAAGTAGGGCATTGTTGACCCTCAGCACCCGAAACAGAACAAGATTAGTATTCAGGCTTTGGAGTCCAGACTAAGGAGGAAAAACAATGGCTGCTCAAAGACCTCCCCCTGACTAATGTATCACTTCAAGAGAAACATTTTGAAACTTAATGACACTCCCTGGCTCTTTCTATAATCTTTCCTTCCCGTCCTTGATTTTATAAATCTCTGGGGCTTTGTGTTCAGTTCCTCCAGCAAGAAATGTCTCAGGCTGTCACCCTCCGATAAGTCCACGAGGGAATTTCCCTGATGCTAACACAGTCTCTGGAATTACACAGAATTTACCTTGCCTTCAATTCATTCTACTTCAACCGTATCCTGTATTACAAAACTCCCACCAAGAGACACCACAATACCAGGTCCACAGCCGACCCCTTGACCTACCCATTCCTCATCCTCTGCCCCATCTCCTTGCTCTCGGATCTCCGCGGTGTCCCTCTCTGAAAACTTCTGGGCCATGATGTTATCTGTCCAGGATGCCCCTGTCTTTCCATCACCGGCAAAATTACACTTGGTCACTGTCCCCAGCTCCAGTTTGGCTAAGGAATCTGAAAGAAGAAAAGTTGAATGGCCTTTCTTCTTGTAGTGGACCAGCCAGGGTAAGACAATCCATTCTGGTGGGGTCCTCTAAGTCTGGGTTGGCTCTGTACTCTGGTGTGGCTACTATGGCTCTTGATGAACTCCCAAATCACTGGAAAGCAAGGGCCAGCCATAGGAAGCAAGGGGTTGGATGGTATCCTGGGATATGATGTTGTCCAGGCTAATGGCCCCAGGGCACTTGGCCACAGACTTAGGAGTAAACCTCAAGATCACAGATCAGGTCCCTGTGGAAGACCAGACTTGGCCTTCTCCCAAAGCTCTAAGCAAGAGAGATGAGGAACCTCTGAAGGGGGACCAGGGGCTTCTGTATCAGTGGTTCTCAACCTGTGGGTCTCAATCCCTTTGGGGGTCACATATCAGATATCCTCCATATCAGATATTTACATACATAACAGCAAAATGACAGTTATGAAGCAGCAATGAAATAATGTTATGGTTAGGGGGTCACCACAGCATGAGGAACCGTATTAAAGGCTCATGGTATTAGGAAGGCTGAGAACCACTACCCTATAGGCGACAGGAACAAGCAAAGGGAATCACACCGCTCACCTATAAAGGGGCCGTCACCCCGAGTTTTTAACCGCACACCAGTCCCCAGCTCAAGTTCCATGACCTCCATCTCTGACTCAGGCATCCAGAATGCCACTGTCTGGTCTGGGGTGAGGCTCTCCGTCAGCTCCAGCAGCTCTGGCTTGTTTACCAGGTCCTTCAGCACCTCCACCGTGAGCCTGTCGGTATCTCCCTTGGCTTCTGTCTCTGGAGAGCAGACAGTGCAGGAGGGTTAGTGTGCCTGGAGAGAACGTCCCCCGAGTGCCTTCAGGAGCTGCTGAGGACACCCCTCCTGCCGGGGCTCCTCAGAGAATCCCACCGCAGAGGCTTTATGACCTGGACTCCGGAGCCAGGCTACCTGGAGCAAATCTGGATTCTACTACAATTGGGGCGAGTGAGCTTTCTCTTCATCCCTGGAGAATAGGGATAAAAATGGCACCAATCTGATGACACCAACATGCAGTGCAGATGAAAAAAAAAGACTGGGCGGTGGTGGCGCACGCCTTTATTCCCAGCACTTGGGAGGCAGAAGCAGGTGGATCTCTGTGAGTTCGAGGCCAGCCTGAGCTACAGCATGAGTTCCAGGAAAGGCACAAAACTACACAGAGAAACCCTGTCTCGGAAAACGGGGAGAAAAAAAAAGGCAAGTGGAGCCTTTAGCACAGTCTGGCACAGAGTCAGCCCTCAGCAAGGGCCTTCCATTTTGTTATTCCCATCTCAGAGACAGAAAAACCAAGCCATAGAGGAGGCAGTATTCAAACACTCACAGTACAATTCCGCCTTCCAACCAAGACTCTGTGTCCAACCAGGGCTCCTTCGGGATGGAGAACCAGCAGGCAGCTTGTGGTTCCTACCCCCTCTACTGGCCTGCTCCAGGCTGACCCTGGTGGAACTCAGCAGCTCAGTGAGGAATCCAAGTCCTAAGCCTGCAGGTGGCGGGGCTCACAGTAGCTGTCAGGTGCGGAGGGCATGCGTGGTTACCACCCCCC